AACCTGTGTCAGTGGTCAGGCACTGCAACACAACACTTGTGCAGTGAATTGAACTGTATTTTAATAAAGTTCTGAGAACAAATAAAAGTGATCAGAGTGATGCGCCATGATTGGTGCCTAGGCACTGTGTCTAGCAGCACACACCAAGCGGCCATTCATTCATTGCAGCTCACTGATGTGAACAAGCCCTAAAAGTGCACCCAAGACTAAATACTCAATTTCACTCATTGAGCTGCTCACGTGAAATTTTAGAGGTGGCAAAAAAAGTAATTTTGCAACAAAATCATTTTTTATTTCATTGCTACTAGCTAAAAAATAATAAACAATCTATCAAAAATCTGTTTCAAGCAATCGTTCATTGAAAACCAATTGTTTGACAGGACAAAAAAAATAGAAAAAAAGAATAATTTGGTCAGCTTGGCTTTTCTTCCAGGACTGATCATACTTTTCAATGAAAATGATTGTTTACTGATCAAAAGAATCGGTTAAAATGTACCCAACTCCCAAACCAAAAAATGTATAATTTGCAGCTTACCAGTCCTCAAATATGGTGGTTCCATGAATTGTTTTTTTAATTTGTTGTCACCTGGTAGTGTTGCAATTACCACATTCCCTTTCTGTCTACACCAGCATTCCTCAACCTCCTTGATGACATTATCTTTGCATTTGAAGCCTTCCTTCACATCAGAGGTACCCCCATCACATCACAGCCTCATTCACGCCAGAGTCCACCATTCTTGTCAGAGTACCCTTCAGGTTAGAGTCTTCTCTTCATGTCAGAGCCCCTAATCATATCAGAGTTCCCCCTATACATTAGAAGCCTCCTATACATCAGATTACCCCATGACAGAATCCATCCATCTCATCAGAGTCCCCCCATCACACAGCCCCCCATCACACAGTCCACGGCTCCTATCACAAACCCCCATTCACACAGTCCCCCCATCAGAGAGCCCCCTAATAACACAGTCCACGGCTCCCATCACATACCCCCCAGTCACACAGTCCCCCCATCACAGAACCCCCCGTCACACGTTCCCCCTATCACAGAGCTCCCCAGTCACACAGTCCATTGCCCCCATCACAAACCCCCCAGTCACACAGTCCCCCCATCACAGAGCCCCCCCCCCCAGTCACACAGTCCCCCATCACAGAGCCCCCCAGTTACACAGTCCCCCCATCACAAAGCCCCCTAATCACATAGGCTCTACAGTTGCCACCTCATCCCTCTAAAACCGAACACCTATTAACCACTTCAAGTCCAGAAACTTTTTCCCCCTTCCAGTCCAGGCCAATTTTCAGCTTTCAGCGCTGTCACACTTTGAATAACAATTGTGTGGTCATGCAACATTGTACCCATACAAATTTTTTAGCATTTTTTTGAGACAGATATAACTTTATTTTGGTGGTATTTATTCACCACTGGGATTTTCATTGTTTTTGCTATATAAATGAAAAAGTCCAAAAATGTTTTAAAAAAAGTGTTTTTCTTATAAACTTTTGAAAATAATATTTCTTCATAAATCTTGGCCAGAATGTATTCAGTTATCTTTTTAGTAAAAAAAAAAAAAATAACCCAAATTAGTTTATAACCAACAATTATCATTTTGCTAAATTTATTTTACATATTTATTTTATTTTGTTATATTATTATTTATGTTTTTTTTTAACACACTGTCACCCTAGCAGTACAGTGTCACCATGGTGACACTGTACTACTTGTGGGGGGTGATGAAGATTTTTTTTTTTACACTGATTGCTTTTATACCCATAAAGGCTGTAAAAGCAATCAATTCTCCTTCTCTCTGTCTGCATTCTTGCAGCCATTGAGAAATAATGTGAGAGCTGTGATTGGTCACATCTTGTCACATGGTACAAGGCTGTTGTGAATAGCCTTGTACCATGTGATCATTCACAGATTTCACTAGTAGTAAGCAATGATGTCAGAAGTGACATCTTGTTTACTACTGCTCATGTGATCACTGACTGGCCAATCAGTGATCACATGAATCGGTACCTCACACAGAGGTCCGGTACAGCGATCTGTGTTCCCAGGGAGCACGTACAGGCTGTAAATGCAGGCGCCGTTTATGAACAACAACCTGCTCCTGCACTGTTCACATCCGGCCGTTTATGTACATGGGCCAGACTTAAAGTGGTTAATTACACAGGTTGTGAGGCTAATTTAATGCAGATAAGGCACTAGGTGAGTTTAATTACCATCTTAATCAGCCACAGAATCTGTGTAATTAATAGGTGTGCAGTTTTAAAGGGATGAGGTGGCAACCGTATTAGGCCCCCCAATCATATAGTCCCCTTTGCACATCAGAGCCCCACCTTCTGACTCCAGCAGAATGGCTAACGGTGAGAGGAGTAAGTCTGGAGGAGGTGGGCTTCCATCCTCTCCTGAAAGCTTGGGACGGTCCCGCATGCCGCTTGCCCTGGATAGGCATCATGTGTTGTCATGGGGCAAGTGGGCCGACCACAACACTATAGCAACAAATGATGTTGTGCATCAAGGCACTGGAGTGTCATTAGGTGTTAGATGCTAGTGGCCTGCCTGCCCATGCCATGGCAACTCATGACTTCGATTAAGGGCAAACTAGAACTAAGGGCAAACTTGCTAGATGTACCCCGGGGAACCTAAATGACACCCCAATTGAGAAACACATTTACTTCTCCTTGATATCTATGAAAAGAGTCATGGTTGTCACACAGACTGGACTTCAAACAGGTCTCACTTAGTTCATCTATATTACATGGAGGATTAATTATTCCCCTCCCTCATCCCTCTTTCCTACCCCCCATCACACCCGCTGCCTATTGAATTATTGGTAATGTTTGAAACTTTTTTTTTTGCATGCTATGGTTTATGCTGTGGTGTCATGTAGGACGTGTGGGACAGGGGTCTAACCCAGGCACTGCACATCTGATAACGCGCCGCTAGGTACTCCGGTGGAACCTTAGGGGGCCACAATACAGTTTCGGGGTAAACGGCGTCATGCATGACATGATGGTTCGTGTAACGGAACCGACCCCAGACTGCGCTTGGGTACTTCCGTTAGAATACCGCTTCCTCGTCCAAAGACCGACAACAGACACCACAGCCAACCATACAAGACTAGACAACACAAGTCCTGAAGTAAACCAGGAGGTAGACTAGTTTATTTGAACACAGATACAAGATATATACACTTAGGGGACAATTCCCCCTCCCTGCATAATGACACAGGGTGGAGCAATCTACATTTAGTAACAAGAGACACTGTCAAGGATCCGGATATGACCAGAGATGTGTGGACTGACACAGGGAATAGCAGGCTTCAGGAGTAATGTAATAATATAGCTTATTTGTGCAACACACCAATATACAAAACGCACTGTGCAAGTAAAAACCAAATAATCAGAATCCTTCACCCAATATATACAGAACAAAAGAGTAGTCAGGGCTAGCCAGGGTCATACACAGTTGATCAAGCATGGGGTACAGAGAGGCAGACAGGACACAGAGCAGATCACAGGAACAGGAACAGGGAGCAGGTTCAGGAAAACAGGTTATCACAGGCACATGGGAACAATACACCAAGGCACTGATTGCAGGCCTGGTCCTGCTTAAATACACCTCCTGCAATCAGCCTCAGGTGATGGCTTGATTGCAGGAGGTGAGATCCTGGCTGCTGAAAAGCACCCGCTGGCAAGAACTGGTACTGCAGCCCATCAGCACCACCAGCGGTGAGTCCTTTCCTGACAGACACACAGGTATTCAAACTTCACAACTTCACACTAGCAGACAGTTCCATCAGGAGGGAGGGCTGCTGGAGACCCCCCCCCCCCCACTAAGCTAATACACATAACATTAAACAATCAACAACCCCCACACAATATTAGGACAGATCACCCTGTACCCCTAACAGGCACAGGGTGATTTACACATAAGAGGGATATGGGGATCTGAGACAGAGGTCTCCCCACCTCTCTAAAGTGAGCTGGGTTCCATGAGTCCCCCCACCCAAAGTGACTCCTGTCACAGTTTGGGAAACTTTTGCTCCGCACATCATGTTAGGCATCATACCGCTGGGTGAATGTATGTATTGTATGATTGAGACTGTATTGTTATGTGGTATATTAATGTGTTGTGTCGCAGTACTGGGTGGAATGTACCCCGATTGAGTATCTTGTTTTTTTATATAAAAAATAAAGTATATTTTTTCAACTAAAAAAATGAGTTCACAAAAAAAAGATCACATTGTTTATGCTGTCCTGGCAAGGTCAATGGGTAGTTTCTGAACTTGGCCTAAAAATGAAGAAACTAGTGGAGCCACCGCATCTGGGGACTGGTAAGCTAAAATATGTTATATTTTTTGGGAGGGTTCAGATACACTTTAAACACAATGGATTTGATAGATATGATCCTTTCGTAAAAGTGATTGTTATATTAGATGATCATATTGTCATTTGAATGGCCAGCATAGCAGCAAATCCTTGCATTAGTTACATTTGGAAAACTGCAGACAATCACACATTTACAACTCACTGGAATGGCGCAATATATAACACAAACACCTTCCGTGCACACAGGCATGTCATTAAAAAAGTTAAACACAGCTTATGCAAGGTTTAATAATCTTTGTGTCAACAAACTGGCTTTAATTGTAATACAGTATCATCAATGTTTACTTCGGCTGCTGAGTTGCTGGCTTACTTTCAGAAGATGTGAGAAAAATTCAACAAGCCATTTTTAGTAACCACTATTTACACAATTTAGAGTTGTAATCTGAGAATAATTTGTGATGAACAATGGAAACAAGGGGTAAGGTCCATTACTGTGATCAATATTATGGATTTTTCATATGAAATTCAACAAAACTAATGTGCAAAGTATGTGACCCATTGCACAATGCCCTTCATAGGCAATGTTACCTTCTCATTTCCAGCAATAGACAATTGATTTCTTCATTACATTTTCTACTGCGGTTACACTAGAAAAGAAAACCACTTACCAGCTCCTTCCTTAGCCAGTTAAGGGCTTCATCAATACTGTCAAATCCATGTATTTTCTTTGACTCCAGAGAATTCTGCTTTTGGGCACCCAAACTTTTCTGAATTTGTTTCATCTCTGTTGGTTGGAATGTCCCACCATCACCTTGGCTGGTTTCCTGAACTTCTTGTTCCACAGGAGCTTCTGGGTTCTTCCATGGCTGATCCTCAAGCTTTGCCCTCCATTCTAGGTAAGATGGCCTGCGAGTTTCTAACCTCAACTTCTCCGTCAGGGCCTTCAAGTTCCTTAGATGGTCATCACCTGGTGGGATGGAGCTGTTATCTGCTTCATCATCGGCTTCCTCCACTTGGATCTTTGGTAATGACATGATGGTAATCCCCACGAAGCCCGGTGGTGATAAGACTTAGTTATATGGTCCGCATGGTGCTTCTGGCCAGTCTCACAAAACATCTGCTTCTCCCATTTTAATAGATCTACTGCTGACTCATAAACTTGACTGTAACACCTAAAATAACAAAACATCAAGTAATTTAATTAAATCATAACTCATTCAGCAAAGAAAATTACACACGACAGAACAATAATCATACATTGATTAGAGAAAGACAATTAATGCTACACTGTTTCTCATTTTAAGATAAACAGAATTATATGAAATAAATACAAGCCAGTAAGCGTGCAATGACATGTTTGATATGTTACAGACAAAACCTGGAAAGGGATAGAGTTGCTAAAGTATTCTAATGAGCAATGGGTCCTTTTTATCTTTTTGATTTGTTTCCACAGTAAGTAATAGATAGTACACTGTTGAGATTCCACTCTCAGGTGGGGCAGACAGTTAATGTGAAAACTCAAACAAGTCAGAAATACATTGTAGGCGAAGGTATGAGTATCCAGTTGAGTTTCTAAAATGACATAATAAGTGCTAACAGTCTTCATGGCACTTCTGGATTTTAGGATGAAAGAGAATTGCTTCAAGGATGTTAACTGTGAAATTGTAGTTTTCTTTTTCATAATATTTTAAAATAAACTAAGGCCAGGTTATCTTAAGATGTTGAGAGGCATAAGGAGAAAACAAGGAACTAAATGGAAAGTCTGTCCATTACTCTCGGGAGCATATCTCCCTGTGTCCCTGTGGGAAAGAGGGGAAAAAAAGAGAGGTGAAAAATCACCCCAAGGCCTCTTCATTCACACAGCCACATAAGAGGTATCTTTGGAAAAAGATTTAGAGCAGTGTTTCTCAACTCCAGTCCTCATGGACCCCCAACAGGTCATGTTTTCAGGATTTCCATTATTTTACACAGGTGATTTGATCAGTTTCACTGCCTTAGTAATTACCACAGCTGTTTCATCTGAGGGAAATCCTGAAAACATGACCTGTTGGGGGTCCATGAGGACTGGAGTTGAGAAACACTGATTTAGAGAGACATGGAAAAAGGGGCATTAGAAGGTCCCTGATTACTCCATATCTGTGCTTTGGACAGCTGCTCCATAATTGAATGCACTTGGTTCTATTGGACACAATTTAGATTTTCCTTCAAACATTTCTGACCTGTCTCGTGAAAAAGAGGTCAAATCCTCCATGTTCATAATATCATTGAGTTTGAAGTACCATTGACCGATGGTAGGAGGATGGGGTTGCTTTCAATGCAACAGGTCCTTTTTAAGCTTAACCACTTGTTCACCAGATGATTTACCCCCCCCCCCCCTTCCTGAACAGGCCATATGGCGCTGTGTTACTTTAACTCACTTAGTCATAACTTTAACTCACTCATGCAACGCTACACCCAAATTAAATTTATGTCCTTTTTTTCCCACAAATAGAGCTTTCTTTTGGTGGTATTTGATTGGCTGTGCATTTTTATTTTTTGTGCTATAAACAAAAAAAACAACAATTTTGAGAAAAAAACAATACTTTTGACTTTTTGCTATAAAACATATCCAGTAAAAAATTTCAAAAATCAAATTTTGTCATACATTTAGGCCAAAATGTATTCTGCTACATGTCTTTGCTAAAAAAAAAATCCCAATACATGTACATTAATTGGTTTACATGAAAGTTATTGCATTTACAAATGGCGGTATATATACTGGAATTTAAAAAAAAAAATGTTTTACTAGTTATGGCGGCGATCAGCGACTTATAGAGGGACTGCAGCAGGCAATCTGACACAGGGGGGAACTGACTTGGTGTCACTGATATCCCCAGTGACACCAATACAGTGATCAGTGCTAATGGCACTGGGCAGGAAGGGGTTAACATCTGGGGTGATCAAAGGGTTAACTGTGTGCTGGTTTCCTATGGGGGCTGTGTGTGTGCTTCATTGTAAACACATGCTTTGTATGGCTCTGCTATGCTATGCAGAGCCATACAAAGCAGTGTGCAGGAGCTGACAGGGGAGAGATCTGTGTTGTTAATACACAGGTCTCTCCATGTTGGTAATCCTCGGCGATCACGGGGTTCCGGTGAGTAATCACTGGCCGGGACAAGGTGATTTACAGCCGGGGCCACGAATGGTGGGTAAGGCCCCCTATTTAGAAATGCAAAATCACGTATATATATATATATATATATATATATATATATATATATGTGATTTTGCGCACTCGTGCCGCCCTGTAGCAGTATTTCTGCTATAGGGTGGACGGGAAGTGGTTAAAGTGACCCTGTCACCACAGTGCCACGTTTACCTAATATTTCACATGTAAATGAAGTATGGATACTCTTACTCTTCTCATTTTTTTTTTAAAACACATCCACTTCTCCACTCCCATTCAGTGCATTCTACACCTGCAGATATTTACAATACTTGCCCCCCCCCGCCAACAGGAGGAATCACCTTTTATTGGGAAGCAAGCATTCTAAACTAGACGTTCACATGCTTTTAAACATTTTCACTTTAAATAAACATTGTCACTTTAACCATTCAAAGTAAACTGACGGGGTCTGCCCAAACCCCCAGGCATTTATACTTCAAGTGGCTGCAAACCCCAACATTTACCCAATGAAGTGACTGCCTCAGATGATGAGAATACAAAAATCCTCCTACATAAGTTGTACCTCTTTTATATACAAACGTCTGTCCCTTACATCCATTCAAAGTGCAGAATTTACACAGGAGCTCTTAGCTCCAAAAGCAGGAGGCGGGGAGCTGATGTTACATCAGTGAGGAGAGCTCTGAGAGCTGATTGGAAGGAAGGGACACCCCCCCCCTCCATACAGCATACAGGAACATAGATGAGACAGTCAGTCTGCCGTAGGTCGCTCCCCTGTCACCATTTTTCTCTTGGTGTCAGGAAAACCTATTAGAAGTGATTTATAGTGATAGCAGAGGAAGGAAACAGCAGACAGAAAGGACACTTAGTGCTCTGGATTGAGACAAGCACATACTGTAAAGGGATATGCTTTGTTCATCTTTCATGTCTGAGGTTTACAACCGCTTTAACAAACTATGCTCCTTCGCCGCCTCCTTCTCACATGGTCAGACTTGGGCTTCTGGGTATGGGGGAGCACATGGAGGTGTTGGGGCCTGAGTGGCCTGGTGTCCCAAACAGTGTCATGTAGGGAGCCCATGACATAATCCCCCTGTTTAGCCCCAGCACTAGCTGACACCAGATTTTTATTCAGTTATGGTTGCTGCAGCATGGAAGCAGTAAATGATCATTGGTCAGAAAGTATAAAACCCCAGGATCTGGCTATCTGCAGACACTGACACGTTTCCCTGAATTGATAAAGTGATCATGCCTGTCACTATTCTTCCAAAGGCAATGTATGGAAGTTTTGTACATAAGTTCCTTATTTATTATGCTCAGGACTAAAAATAGTATGTTTCTTTAGTAGGCCCGTGTCTTCCAACATCTAGGCAGGAGATGGAGCTCTAGGATCATTTTATTGTGTTTTCCCCCAGTTTCTCTTTAGTTTCTGTCATATAAAAAGTCTGTTGGTCACAGAGCTCAGTACCTCAAGCAAAAAGTTAAACACAAGTGAACTAGCCATGGCAGTGACTCCTCCACCTTCTCTCTTACTCTCCATATGACTCGGTTCAAGGTTTTAACGGCTACCTTGAAAGAGGCAACTACTGCTGTGCTGTCTTTTTAGATCATCGACTGTGCTGTTGGAATAATTTGTGTAATTGTACACCAAAAATGATATACACAGTGTATATACTTACAGTGTACAGTATATATAGATAGATAGATAGATAGATAGATATAGATATATATCCTAGATTGTAGGCTCGAAAGAGTAGGGCCCTCTATCCCCTCGTGTACTGTTGTTGTTGCTGTTCTGTTTCTTGTATTGTCCCCCCCCCCCTCTATTGTACAGCGCTGAGTAAACCCTTTGGCGCTATATAAATGCGATATAATAATAATAATACAGGCGTACCTCAGTTTACGAACGCTTCGGTTAACGTAATTTTTGGTCTACGAATGAAAATCCATTGAAAATAATGCCTCGGTTTACAATTTTTTTCGCAATACGAATGGATTAATTGGTTTCCAATGCATATACAATTTTTTTTTCAATCATGTCCCTGTACAGTATTTATGCCTTTAAAGTGCACTTTATAAAGAGTTTTGAACAGATAAGACTTTTTTTTACTTTTTTCTGACCTCCGGAACGGATTAATTGGTTTTCAATGCATTTACAAATTAATTTTTTATCATGTCCCTGTACAGTATTTATGTCTTTAAAGTGCACTTTATAAAGAGTTTTGAACAGATAAAAGACTTTTTTGAAACTTTTTTCTGACCTCAGGATTGGGTTCATTGGTTTTCAATGCATTCCTGTGGGAAACTGCATTTTGGTTTACGAATTTTTTGCATTACGAAAAGTCCATCAAGAACGCATTAAATTAGTAAACAGAGGCATGCCTGTGTATATATATATATATATATATATAATATATATATATATACACACAGTGTATGTATATATATACTATATATATATATATATATATATTTATAGTAAACTGTGTCTTGGCAGCACCAACGATGATTGCACAAGCTTTTTATTAAACTGTCATAAGACTGGAGACAAGGCCAACATGAATGAAATGCACTCTAAGGTGTCAGAACTTACCTTTCAGCGGCTTGCCGAGTTTCTCAGAAGACCCGAAACCCTAGATTCTCTAATAAATAGATATCAACTTTGAGTGCTGGCATACCCCTCCAGCCTCCGCCACCACTCCCTCTGCTGCATCCGCCAACAAAAATACCTTCTGGGTGTAGATGAGCGTGTAGCCTCCTCCCATTGGACAGCACTGGAATCTTGTAACAAGGTCTAGAACACATTTTTTAGGGAGTGATGTCACTGCTCCTCCTCATGGCAACTTTAGCAAGCACTGGAGACTTTAGTGCCGG